ATGTCATATATTCATATGTTTATGAGATTTTATTAAAAGGCTGTTTAGGCCAAAAAATGTGTATCTAGGCTGAAACTGCCAAATCCTCACTTTCCAACCTTAACAGAATTCAAATGCGTTTGCACGGACTTTTAGGTGATTAAATATTTCCCACCCTACAACCACTTTCCCACAGACAAAACAGCGGAAGCCTATCAATACTCTGTCACTTTTTCCATGGCAAACGTTCAGACGAACTATATTCCTTGGTTCCACCAATTCTGATCTTTACAGCTAGGACACTTCATGCGCAAAGCAGCCTCTTTCTCTCCGTATTATATTGGTAAGAAAGAAGTTACGCTCAGACAGGTTTTTCCCGAGAACAGCTACCGGGGTCACCCGTTATGTAGTCCTCATAATCTGCGCTTAATTTCTCCACTCACGCCCATGCAGCAACCCAATCTCAGTAACCCTCTTATCTCGAATAGTTTGGGGGTCTTGTATTAGGAAAGCATTTTGTAATTAAATTGTATTATAATCTGCATCATGTTAATAAATCGAAAAACCTCGTTTTCTTGTTTTTAATATCAAGCTGTAGTAGCTTTTCTAGAATGAAAATAGAGTAAGTCTGACTAAACTACAAAACTGCTATTGTAGTTTTCAGCATTGTTTAAATTGACACTGAGAGATTGTAAATATATATTTGCTTTTTTATTACAAACTATCTCAGTGCATTCTCACGGTATAATCTTAAAATGTGCTTTTGCGATATTAAGAGAAGAGTCTTTTGCATGATTGGTCACGCGTATTCGAGTATGCCAGTCTACTCGGTTGGTTTGTTAATCCCTGTTGCAGACGCCCGCTCAGGCATATTTCAGTTTCTTTCAAACCCACAGAGACAAACTGGTACTGAGTTGCAGTTTTTGAGAGACGGTGCATAATCTGGTGATTACCAGTTTGAACAAGGCCAATACGTTCAAATCCTCGGTCACGATGACTTGTGACCTGGTGCAAATACAACCATCAACGACTTTCGAACAGTTTCGCCTATAGAATATCAACCACAAGGTCATGGGCCAACCTGTGGTATGGTTTTTAGGAACTTACCAACGGTGCCGCACGTTTCCTTAGGTCGATATTATAGTCAGCTCCTTGGCAAATTGACCATCGTGAGATTCAAACCTGAGTTTCAACGGTCGGAAAACTAACGTTCTAACCACTTGGCCAGGCACCCACGAAAGTTTGTATTACACTAGCAGTGATCATTATAAACAAAGAATTTCAACTATGGTTTAGTATAAAGTATCTTCTCTCAGACCCGGTGGTCAGGAATTCAGATAATAGCTTAGTCTGGCACAGAGCCAAGAGGAGAAAGATGGAGAGAATGTTGTGCGTCACTCTTCAAAATGAAGAGTGCTCGCGTGTCTGATTTGAAAATCAGCACAGGCAGTTCTGACGTTTAAGCCGGCTCGAACACAGATCATGATGAATATGCATCTACTACAGCAATAACACCAACTCCAATCCGGGTTAAAGGTCATTGGTACGCTCTAAACTGAGAGCCAAAATCACGACCCTTCGAATAAAAATGATATGATCAGGACAAAGGTGTCCTCCTCCATTAGCAACACATTACATTTAAACGGGAAAGGTCAAAGTTCAGTTTTTGATAGTTGACGTGTCTCAAAGTGTTGAGAAAGACTAGGTGATTTCACGTTCGAAGAACCGACCCTGTAACAAATTTTCCCACGTCAGGAAGTAAATAAATGACTGTCATAACATCTGGTGCAACATATTATGTAAAAAGCACGTGAAATTCAAGTAGATCTCTATTAAAATTAGTTTAGTTTGACATAAGATCAACAAGGAAAATAAATATAACATTTCGAATTTTGACATTCGAAGACGACAGGCTTCCTACAATAAAACTGAGGTTACATAATCTTTTTATTATTTGGCCTTGTGCTAAACAGAGACAAATTTAGTCAATGTTCGTCAGAGACTGAGAGTATAAAATCAGTTGAAAAGAAATAGTGTATTATTTATTTCTCTCTAGGTTGATCAGGGTCGGGGTAACAGCTTTGTTTCTGATACTGTCTTGGTCAGTGATGTAATTATAGAAACACACTCACCTATTCTGTCTGCTGTTAAATGACCTGACATACCAGTAACAAGAGATTTTTGCTAAAGATGTCGAACAATGCTACAGAAGTAAATTTAAAGATCATCAGCGAGATTTAAAATTCTGTTCGTCAATTTTGTTTGTGCTGACGGCGTTGAAAAAAAAGAAAGAAGAAAATATGTGCGTAAAAAGAAGCAAAGAAACAAGCAAGACGGTTAAAATGAAAAGAAGAATAGAAAAATGTGTAAAACGAAACAAAAGAAAAAAGAATATGCGTAACATGAAACGAAAGAAAGAAAAAAAAAAACAAGCATAAAATGGGACCAAAGACAAGAATGAAAGCAGAAGAGAAGAAAAGAAAATACAAACAACGGGATCAAAGAAAGAAACAAGGAAAGAAAGAATAAGCATAAAATAGCCTAAAGAAAGAAAGAAAGAAAGAAAGAAAGAAAGAAAGAAAGAAAGAAATGTGGCACCATTTACGAGGCAGAGAAAGAAAGAGAAAGAAAAGAAGGCAGAAAGAAATGCGAGACGAATCATAGGTGATAAGCGAACACACAAACGGCTAAGAGGCAATTTAAAAAAAGGGTTATTTTGATAAGTGGCAAATGGCGAAAGAGTGTCATTACAATGACAATGAGATTTGAGTGGGTAGGGAAGTGTTAAGGGAAAAAATATGAAAACAAACTATTCTTTACGGGAAGGCATCTTATTATAAAAAACACAGACCACCGGCCAAGGGAAAAATTCAAGTGAAAATGTTATTTCGATAAGTGACGAAAAGAAACAGGCGACTAAAAAAGACTTTGGACAGATATGAAAATTAAAGGCCACCTACGAGCAATCGTTGACCGATTTTCCTACTTGGCCTGCGCGAATGGAATTGTGTTATCAAGAAATGTTCGCCAAAGAAAGTCCACTTGAAAACGTTAATTTTGATAATTGACAAAACACAGGTGTATCTACAGAGCCTTAGTTAGATATGGAAAATTAAAATCCCACACAAGCAGTCTCGCTAACCGATTTCTTTTCGACAAAACAACTTTTGCCTGCGATAATAAAATTTATGTTATCAGAACATGAACCGAAGGAAAATGAATGGGAATAAGAAATGTTTTTCTTTCTTCCTTGGAGACGTCAGACTGACTGAAAACTTGGGGAAAATTCTTTTTTGAGGCCATGTTAAGAAAACCAACCATCTTGATAAATTAGCGATAAAATACTTGACAAACGCCACGTGTTGAACAAAGAGTTGTCATATTATCCCGTTAGAGAAATGATAACGGCGATTTGAAAGGAAGAAAAAGGAAAGAGAAAAGATAATTTTTTTTTTAGTTAAGCAAGGTATTTTTTTTTCCGAAACAAAGCCGCGGATTGTTCACGCCCGACTAAGACGTCATTGGTCAAGTGGTGATCACGTGACGCACGAAGGAGGAGGAAAGATACCCGACCAAGACCTCATTGGCCGAGAGAGTGATCACGTGACGCACGAAGAAGGCTGTCGACGCCCCCATCCAGAGTATAAGTATGAGAAGCTGCTACGAAGAAGTGGGGAGGGCAGTTCACGCCCCTCAGAAGCATGGTGAGAAAGTGGGAGTGAAAAAAAGTTACCAAAAATGGAAAAGAGTGGAAAATCCTAACCAGAAATAAAAGAGGTGGATATGTATTTAGAATTATCGAGGAACCCCCGACGCCAACAGACCCACCCCGGTTTTGGTCGGCGTCAATAAAAGCGAGGCCCCAACAGGCAGAAATCAGTTCAGAGATGAGTGGCTGGCAGCCCTGGCAGAGGCAGAGAGAGAGATGAGCTCCAGTTTCCAGAGTTGAAGCCGCCAAGATAGCTGACCAAGATTCACGCAAAATTTCGGACTCCTCTTCAACCAAGAACAATTATTTTGAAGAGCGACTTAGAACCAGACCACCGAAATAAGTTTTTTTTGACTTTCGTCCAAAGACACACCGAAACACAAATTTCTTAGAGAGCAAACAACTTGAAGCGTTAAAACTTGCCTAGCGAAAACGACGTGTCACAATCCACAGAACTGGTCGGGAGATAGATGTATCGAACAACTAGACATAAAGTTTGTTACCTTTTTCTTTGATACTTTGAACTTTTTGAGTTTTCATTTTATTTTTTTTTTATGCATATTTTGTGTGTTATCACCCCCGTTGAACTCAATTTGCATTACGGCCCCAACCACTGTTTGATCTCGTCTGTCTAAGATCAATTCACAACGTGGGTAGGCAGACTGGAGATCAGTGCAGTTACCTTGGTAACCAGGCGTTGGAAGCGAGTTGGGAACGACGAGGCTGATATCAAATCTAACCAGATTCCCACCCGAATCACCAAAAGGTTAGAACGTCACATTTGGGTGCCGCGACCGATACCAAGCCAGTTGGTCGTCACAGGACGAGACAACACGACTGACGCGACAGGCGGATGTCACGTTTGGAGCAGCGACACCCGGACGGAGCAGCGAGGAGCGAACAGCTGGCGCCGCGGCGAAGACGTCACAAGTGGTGCTGTTTGGGACGACGTCGTGACCAACTGGTGCCGTGGTAGATCAGGATAGAACGTCACAGTTGGCGCTGCGACTGGGGGACGACGTCACATCTGGTGTCGTGACCGGGATAGGTGTTGGGAACGGCCACGTCAAAACTGGCGCTGTGGTAAATCAGGATAGAACGTCACAGTTGGCGATGCGACCGGGGGACGACGTCACAGAAAGAAAGAAAGAATGTGCGTAAAATTGAACCAAAAAATGAAAGAAAGAATATGCGTGAAATGGAAACAAAAAAAAGATAGCAAAACACGAATGTACGTAAATAGCACAAAAAAGAAAGAAAAATATGATTAAAATGGAATCAAAAAGATAAAAAGAATGCGGATAAAATGTGATCAGAGAAAGAAAGGAATAAGGAACGAAATAAGGAAAGAAATCAATAAAAAAATCTTATAAAAAGAAAAAAAGAAAGAATATGCCAAGAATGAAATTTTCAAAGAAAATAAAGAAAGAAAGAAAAAAAGAAAGAAAAGGAATAGATTTTGTTCAAAAAAGAACCAAATATAAATAAAATGGAAAAAAAAAAAAATAAGTATGCGTAAAACGGGCTAAAGAAAAACAAGAAAATATATGCGTAAATGGTACCAACGAATTACAGATAGAAAGGACGAAATTGAAAATATATTTAAAATGGAATCAAAAAAAGAAAAAAATTTTTAGACGTAAAATATTTTTGAAAAAAAAGAATGAATATATATGAAAAAATATAGAAACTTTTAAAAAGAATTAATTTTAAAAGAATATATATATAAATATGTACAAAAAAGAAAGATAATGCATAACATGGGAACAAAGAAAAAATAAAAAAAAGACAGAAAGAAAGAATATGTGTAATATGCAACCAAATAAAGACGGAAAAAAAGAAAGAATATTATAAACCATTTAATGTAAAAATTATATATAAAATAAATCAAAATAAATGAAATAATGAATAAAAGAAAGTGAAAGAATGCCCTTAAAATGGAATTTAGAAAGAAAAAAAAAAAAAAAAAAATAAAATAAAAAATAAAAAAAGGGAAAAAAAAAACGAATAGATTTTAAAATACCAATCTAAAAAAGAAAGAAAAGCAAAAAATGAAGCAGTGAAAGAAAAAAAAATGGAAAAACGGAAGACAGAAAAAAGTTCCTTTTAAAAATGAAAAGAATATTTTATAATTTGGGATCATAAAAAAAAGGAAAGAATATGTGTAATATGGGAACCAAATATGCGTAAAACGTAACCAAAAAGAAAATAAATAAAGAATATCTTTAAAATAAAACCAAAGAAAGAAGTGACGAAATAACGAGGAAACAATATGTCTAAAATTGGCTAAAGAAAGAAAGAATGAAATAATATATGTAAAATAAACTAAAGAAAAAAAGAAAGAAGGAATAATATATAATGAAAACCAATTAATGTAAAAAAATAAAAACAAAAAAAAATATGCATTAAATGGGACCAGAAAAAAACGAAAAAAAAGAAAAATATTTTAAATAAAATGGTAAAAAAAAAAAAAAGAATATGCTTAAAATGGGACCAAAATGAGAATGAATGAAGAAAAAAAAACAACGAAAAATGAAAGTAAGAATATGCGTAAAAGGAACCAAAGAAAAAAGAAGATACGTATAATGGAAGAAAAGAAAAAAGATAGATAAAAAAAAAAGAAAAACAAAATATAAAAAAAAAGTTAAAAAAAACGGAACCAAATAATAGTAATATGCAAACTGAAATAATAAAAAAATAAATAAGTTTTAATATATGACAAATGCAAGAGAGAAAGAAAGAATGAAAGGAATAACAAAAGAAAGGATTAGTATATACCGAAGATTATAAAAGAAGAAAAGAAAAAAAAATTTAAACAATATTTTTTTTTTATATATAAAATGGATTTATTTCAAAAGAAAGAAAAAATGTAAAAGAATGAACTAATAAAAATGGGGACCAAAAAGAAAGAAGAAAAGATAAAATTTGCGTAAAATGTCCGAAAGAAAAAAGAAAGGAAGTATATGCGTAAAATGGCGAAAGAAACAAAAAAATATGCGTAAAATGTAAACAAATATGTGTAAAATTGAACGAAAAAAAGAAACATGCGTAAAATAGAAACAAAACAGACATCAAAACACGAAAATATCAAACAAGATGTTTAAATAAACAACAAAAAAAAAGATATGAGATAAATGAAAAAAATTTAAATAAAAAAAAAAAAATCTGTATAAATGGACGAACCAGCAAAAAGAAAGGAAATAAAAAATAAAAAAAGAGGGTTTTTTTTAAATTCTTTTGAAAAAAAAAAAAAAGAAAGAAAGAAAAAAATATAATTATTCAAAGAAATAAAGAATGGAAGAAAGAAGAATATACGTAAATTAAAATCAGATAAAAAAATTGAACAAAAAATAATGAAAGAAGGAAAGAAAAAGTATAAAAATAAAATTAAATTGAAAAAAAAAAAAAAAAAAAAAAAAATCAATATTAAATTTGTAATCAAAAAAAAAGAAAAGAAAGAATGAATAAACGTAAAAATCGAAATTCAATTAATAAAAAGAGAATTTAAAAAAAAAGGAAGAAAGAATATGTGTATAATGAAATCAAAGAAAGAAATAAAGAATGGAAGAAAGAAAGAATATACGTAAATTGAAATCAAATAAAAAAAATTGAACAAAAAATAATGAAAGAAGGAAAGAAAGTATACGTGTAAAAATGGGAAAAAGAAATAAAGAATAAAGAATGGAAAAACAAATATATAGTTGAAAATGTAACAAAAGGATAAACAGAATATTTTTAAATATAACCAAATATGCTTAAAATCGAACCAAAGAAAGAATATGCGAAAAATGGAACAAAAGAAAGAAAAAAGAGAAAAGAACGAAAGAAATAAGGAGAAAAGAGAAAAAAAAATTGTTAATTTTAGCAAATGAAAAAAAAAAAATAAAAAGGAAGGAAAATATGCGAAATTTTTGTACCAATTAAAAGAAAAAAAAGATTAAAAGAAAGAAAAAAAGAAAGAAAGAAAAAAAAAAATCGGAAAAAAAAAGAATTTGACATTTTGAGACCGACTAAAAAAGATAGATAGAAAGAAAAAAATTTTTTAAAAAATGGCCTAAAGAAGAAAGGAAGTATATACGTAAAAAGGGAAAGAATATGCATAAATTGGGACAAAGGAAGGAAGAATGAAAGAAAAAATGAGTGAAAAAATTAAAGAACGAAATTGCGTAAATAAGAAAGAAAACAAAAGAATAAAAATAGAATAGAACCAATTTAAAAAAAGAAAAAAAAAAATTAAATAAAGGAAAGAAAGAAATAATAAGAAGTAATAATGATTGACTATGCGTAAAGTAGCCGAAAGGAAGAAAAAAAATAGAAGGAATAAACGTAAAATGGTAGCAAAGAAAGAAAGAATATGCTTGAAATGGGACCAAAGAAAGAAAGAAAGAAAGAAAGAAAGAATACCCATAAAAAGGGACAAAAAAAAAGAAAGACAGGAATTAAGAAAAGCAGACAGAAAATAAGAAAGAAAGAAAGAAAGTATTTCCTTAAAATGGAACCAAAGAAAGTACGAAATAGAAAGAAAAAGTATCCGCGTGAAATGGCCTAAAGTAGGGAAAAAAATAAGCGTAAAGTGGACCAAATTAAAAAAAAAAGAATATGCATAAGATTGCCAAAATAAAGAAAAAAATCTGCGTAAAATGGCCTAAAGAATTGCGTAATTGCGGGCCAAAGAAAGAATGAATGAAAGAAATGAATGAAATGGGATCGAAAGAGAAAGACATAAAGAAAGAAAGAATATGAGTAAAATTTGGGTAGAACTTTGGTAAAAGAATATGGGTAAAATAAGAAAGAAAGAAAAAAGCGAGAAAAAAAGAATTAATGTACATAAAAGGGAAACGAATATGCGTAAAATGAAACTAGAGATAGAAAGAACGAAAAAAAGAAAGACTATACGTAAAACGGCGAAAAAAAAAAAGAAAAAAGGAAGCGTAGAATCTGACCAAATGAAGAAAGGAAGAAATTGGTCTAAAGAAAGAAAGGATACACGTAAAATGAAACCAAAACCAGAAAGAATGAAAAATAATATGCGTGAAATGGACTAAAAAAAGAAAGGAAATGCGTAAAATGTCATTCACAAAAGAAAGATATAAAGAAAGAAAGAATATGCGTAAAAAAGTACTAATGAAAGAAAGAAAAAAGAGATATGGGTAAAATGAGATGAAAACAAAAAGAGAGAATGTGAATAAAAAGGACAAAAGAAAGAAAATATATGGTACCAAATAAATAAAAAAATATGCGTAAAATAGTCTGAAGACAAAGAAAATATGTGTAAATGGAATCAAATAAAGAATGAAAGAAAGAAAGAATATGCGTAAAATGGAATCAAAGAAAAAAGAATGAATGAAAGAAATGAGTAAGATGGGAAGAAAGTAAGAAATAAAGAATGGAAGATACAAGGAATATGCGTAAGTTATATTTAAAGAAGAAAGGAACATGTGTAAAATTAAACCAAAAAAAGGAATAAAGAATGAGAGAAAGAAAGAATATGCATAAAAGCAAATCAAAGAAAGAAAGAAAGAATATGCGTAAAATTGAATCAAAGAAAGAAAGAATATCCGTAAAATGCAATCAAATAAGAAAAACTAAAGAACGAAAGAAAGAAAGCATATGCTTAAAATAGAATCAAAGAAGAAAAGAAAGAATATGTGTAAAAAAACAACAAATACAAATAAAGAATGAAAGAAAGAATATACGTCATATAGAATCCAAGAAATAAAGAAAGAAAACATATGCGTAAAATGGAATCAAAGAAAGAAAGTAAGAAAGAATATTCGTGAAATGGGATCAAAGAAAAAAAAACAAAGAAAAGAAGGAAAGAATTGGCAGAAAATACAATCAAAGAAAAAAAATAGTGAATGAAAGAAAGAAAGAAAAAAGACAGAAAGAAACAATATGCTTAAAATGGAATAATAAAGAAAGAATGAAAGGAAGAAAGAATATGTGTAAAATGGAATCAAAAGAAAAAAATATGTGTATGATGAAATCAAAGAAAGAAATAAAAAACGAAAGAAAGAACGAATATCAGTAAAACGGAATCAAGGAACAAAAGAAAGAATGAAAGAAAGATAGAACATGCGATAAATGGAATAAAAAAAGAAAGTAAGAATGAAAGCAAAACTATGCGTAAAATGAATAAAAGAAAAAAAGAAAAAAATGAAAGAAAGAAAGATAGAATATGCCTGAAATGATATCAAAGAAAGAACTTTTATAAAAGGGAATCAAAGAAAGAATTAAAAAAATGAATAAAGAATATTTATAAAACGGAATCAAAGAGGGAAAGAAATATGCGTAAAATAGAATGAAAGAAAGAGAGAAAGAATTAATATTCTTAAAATCAAAGAAAGAAATAATGAATGAAAGAAAAAGAGTCAAATAGACTCAAAGAATATGAGTATGCATAAAATGGAAATAGAGAAAAAAAAATAAAAATAAAAATATTCGTAAAATGGTATCTAATATGTGTAAATTGGGGATGGATTGTACGCGTGCAAGGAATTTTTTAAAATCATCGGTCAAAATAAGGTAATTGTGAAATGAAGAAAAAATAGCAAAGAATTGATTGAGTGCGATGGCTGTATGAACGCTCGTTATTTACCTGAGACCAAAACTCATCTTCTCGCCCTGCCGCTCGCTGGACCGTAAGCAGTTTACATATTGAATCCGAATTCTCTTACGCTTGGCTAAACCCGAAAAATATCAATCTTTATTTTAAAACTGTTCACTTCAATGCTGGTTTTAGAAAATTACGCCAATGTTTGCGTCAGGAAATAATACAAGATCAGAACTTTTGTCAAATGTCTCTTATTAATATCTCCATGTTTTCAGCTGCCTGTTTTTCACATTTGCTTCTTTAAATTGCCAAACGGGCACACCTATGGTTTCATATTTACTACAAGTTATCATAATATTCTAAAGCTACGCCTACATATAAATTAATGTCGCCAAGAAATTTATTTCGTCATGTTTTTAAATCTCAGAAAGAAAGTAGCATTGCTTTCTTTTAACTGGATTTTAAAACATTTTCCTTGTGTGTTTAATTTAAATTCAATTATGCAGTTTTGTTTATGTTACAGCATTTATAAGCTAACTACACCGTTATGATTAACAATGTTGTTAACAATTTGTGATTTTTTTAACTAATTTTTTAAACTAATTTTAACATGATGTTACAATGCTTTGTTTTCTTGTTTTTTACTAATTGAGTACGCAAAGTAATTATCGAAGATTTGTTCAAGTTTTTATTCTGTAATGGGATTGGTTTAGCTAATAGGTAATTAGTATAAAGAGAACTGTAACTATAGCTCACTAGAAACTTTGAGTCAGTGTAGGTAGAATACCTACGGCTACTAAGTTTGATCATCATAACAAAATGGCGTCGCCTGACGGAGCTCTGTTGAACACAGAAGAACCTGAAAATGTAAAGATTTGGATAAAATGCTTTGGGGTAAGTGCCCGAATAAAGTTACGAGATGGCCAACCACTTGAAGGACGGAAAAAAATCACGGATCTATTTTAGGCCATTGTGGGATGCGAAGCCATTAGGCAGATTTCGTTAATGACTTACCAGCCTGAAATTGAAAACTTGACATTTAAGGAAGTCAAAGAAATAATATTGAGAAATATTCAACCAAAGAAAAGATTGGTCATAGCTGAACGAACCAAATTCTTAGCACTGAGACTAGAATTTGGGGAGCCTATAAGGAAATCTTTAAGAAAGTTAAGAGATACCAGCAGATATTGTGAATTTCATAAACTAGGACAACAAGGAATAAACACAGAGGAAGAATTAATTCAACTTCGGTTTGCAGAAAGACTATACAGTTACAGACAAACCCGATGACTTTAGAAGCTTGTATTGTCTTCATACAACAAGAGGAGTTAATTGAAAAATTTATTACAAATAAAAACCAAACTGAGCTTTGGACATGTGTGTGATAAAAAGAACAATGATAAAATTCAGATATTGCAACCATAAACATGAATAAAAGAGAGAGAAATGTCCAGTATGAGGACAGGCATGTAATAATTGTAGAAAGAAAAATCACTTTAAAGTCGTATATAGATGACGAGATAATAATGTAAAAACTGTCGAAATAATACACGACGGACAAAAAAGTCAAACAAACGTTTTTCAATAAAAAGGAGAAACAAAAAGAACATCTTCACGAATATTAAATTAGACGGTATAGACTTAAAAATATAAGTTGGCACTGGAAGTATAGTGACCCTTATTTTGAAGAATTTTGGGGAACAATTATCGAAACCAAAATTAAAGAAAACCTCAATAAGACTAAGACAGTTTGATGGAACGTGTATAAAAATATTAGGGTTCTTTCAAGGTACTTTTGAAACAAAAAAATAAACTTGAAACCGTCACTATTATGGTTGTAGACTGTATAAAAACGCCACGGTTTACTAGGAGCTGATTTGATAAATATTAATAGTACATGATTGCTTAATTCTATGAATACCGGATGTCCCGAAACTGGGAAATTAAAATCCATAAGGCGGCTTTAAGTTAAAAAGAAATATCAATCAATCGTAATTTGAAAGCAGTTGGCTTCTCTTCATATAAATCCAATGGTAGTTGATAAGTTGCGAAAAATGGTGGAAGAAGGCATTCTTCAATATAGAGAACCTGGAGGCAGCAAGATTACAAATTTGGCGTAAATCATAAGATTTGTTCGGATTCCTACTCTATTCCAAACAGAAAACATACTACATTCTCTGGCAGGAATGAAATATTTTACAAAAATTGATTTAAAAAATGCGTACCACCAAATTCAAATAGGCGACGAATTTAAGGAAATCACAACAATAAACTCTCCCATAGGCTTACTTAACTGATCCCGCTTACCATTTGCAATTAAGACAGCCAGCTCGATTTTTCAAATAGCTATGGAAGATTTATTAGCGGAGAGAGTAGAAAATATGATAATTCATCTGGACGATATATGTTTAGGTGAGGCCACTGTAGAAGAACTAAAACAAAAAACTAAATTTGTAATGAATAAGTTGAGGAAGGCAGGAATGACGATAAACGAAGATAAGTATATATTTATTTGCAAACAACACTCTTGGGTTCCCAAATTTCAGAAAACGGTACTTCACCGGACCCGACGTTATTACAAAATGTATTAAATGTATCTTCTCCAACTAATAAAAAAGAATTGGCCATTTTTTATAGTAAATTCTTGTCAAAATATTCTGAAAGAACTGAAGCGTTTTCTGGGTTGCGAAAGAAGCATAAGGATTTCGAATGGACTAGTACACACCAAACAACCTTTATTAAATAAAAAGAAGCTATATGTAAAAAAAAAACACAGTCTAGATTGTTTTACCCTAAAAAGGACGTTACATTAACCGCAAATGCAAGTGGCCAGTCTTTATTGGCAATTTTGTCCTAGGAAGGAGACCCGATGATGTATCTTTCCACTACATTGACACCAGCTGACTTGAACTCTACTTTAATATTGAAAATGAAGCACTTGCAATTGTACGGAGTATATCCAGAGCAAGACAATTTTTATTAGAAAAAAATTTTGTTAAGATCCGATCATAAGCTCTTAGAATTCATATTCCATCCTAGGAAATAATTGCCGAAGGTTACATCATCCAGAATATTAAGATGGGCTATTAACTTAATGGCTTTTTATTATGATATAGAATACGTGAAGGGAAACACGATCCCACATGTAGACACATTGTCCCAACTACAATTTGAAAAGGAACAAAACGAAAAAAAACATAAAGTTGAGGATGAATTTTTGCATTGGGTAGAAACGGATGTGTTGCCCATGAACGGATTAGTTATGGAGACGTTACAAGATACAGTTTTAAGTCGAATTTTATCTAGAATAAGGAACAATAAATGTAATAGTTCAAAAGCAGAAAGACCATACAAAGAAACCAGACACAAACTATCGATAGAAAAATAGTTTAATTTGTAGTGGGGATTTAATCGTACCACCAGAAAAATGTAGAAAAGAATTTATTAAAAATGTACATGATGATGTGTATTGTGGAATAACCGCTACACAAAAACAGTTAAAACTGGAAGCGTCTTGGCCGGGAAACACCCGTGATGGGGAGAATTACGTACGCAAATGTCCTAAATATGCTGAAATAAAGAATTTTCGCCACAATAAGTTACACTCTTGGCCTAAGGGAATAAAACCATAGTCTAGAGTTCATATGGATCATGCACGAGTAAGTTTATGTTTAATACTGGTTGACACTTTTTTCCGCCTGGCATGAAGTTTTCCGAGTTCAGGATAAAAAATCTATTACTGTAAAACAAATATTACTCATAATATTTGCAAGAAATGGAAAACATTAGTAATTGATAATGGTCCCGAATTCTGTGACAAATGTTTGTGCTAAGGGAAGGTTGGCTCGTAGTTAAGGAAGAATGGAAAACACCTCCTTACCACCCTCAATCAAACGATATTGGTGAACGAATAGTACAGATAATAAAGATGGGATTGTAAGCATTTTCTTCTCAGCAAGAAAAGATTAAAACTTTCCTACCAAGATTATTGTTGAGTTACAGAACGATAGCACATGCTGACAGATTAGAGAGCCTGTCTGCATTAATGGGCAGATAGATTAGAACTCCATTAACTATGTCTTACTCTATTAATGAAAACATAGGGTAGAAAAGAAATAAAGAAAACGAGCCGGAATAGGCGAATTTCATAATGCAAAAAGGATACAACGCTGTATTAAT